ATTCACCGAGCAATTCTCTTAAAACAATCGTAGCATAGGATGATGGCCCTAAAGTAAATGTAAATTGATAATCATTCCCCTTTTTCTTACAAGCGAGCTCTCTTATTTCTGTAAAAGCTTTTCTCTTTACTTTACTTCCCTTTAGGACCAGCTCTTCGTTTACCTCGTATTTTCCACCCAGCAATTTCGATAACTCTTGGTTGAACACATAGCTCTGGTATGCATGCAAATAAAAAACTCGAATTTTTTCTTTAATGCTGAAAACAGCATATTTGTATCCTCTAGTGATGTTTCTGCAAATGCTTTTCTCGGCGAGACAGTTCTTAGGAAATTGTGCATAGGCCTTATCGTATTCTTTGTTATGAAAAGACTGTTTTGCTTCTTTCACATAGTCTCCATCATTTTTTTCCGCCATCATGATTAAATTAACCGCATCTTCGTATTTTTTTTCCTGTATAAGCTTACCTACCAAATGGTTATTCAAGTTCCTTCCAAATCGCTGTGGACCAAAGAAATTAGGCACCATTTTCATATTCAGATCCATGTTCATTACCGCATCATCTAACGAGCAATCACCCGTCTCTGATGAGTTTTCTTTCGGGCGTACCATAATCGTGAACCGATTGCCTTTGAATCCTCCGAGTTTCAAATATCCTCGTTCTCTTCTCACGCAGTGTAAATGTTTGATATTATCGTAGTACACATCATTGATCGATACTCGCTGGTAGGTAATTGCTCGCCTGTCTTTATTACCAGCAAACTTTACATTTTTGAACGGTACGTTCAGTTCCTTCGATATTCGCATGCATGCTTCCACAGTGTCTTCATTTTCCTTCCGTAAAACGAACGAAAAAGGTGCCTTTCTGCGTGTTTTTATATATTCTGAATTTGTTATCGACATACTCTGATTCGATCAAAGGATTTCGCCTTAATGCACCGTGTAGAAGCGTTCTTTCCTCTTTTTTCGGCATGTCTATCTCTGCCAGTAACACCTTAGTGTCTTTTTTTCGTTTAATTGCTCTAAATTGGTTATAATTTGCACGATATCATCATCCAAGAAGTGTTTGAGAAAAGAAGCATCCGTGTGATCGCTCTCTTCACCGCATATATCGTTATGATCGTGCATTTCCTGAACAATGAAATCCGATGGCGAGTGTTTTATCATGTAGTTTACTTTTCTTTTACACGTATTTATTCCGATTTTTCGAAAATCGATCGACATATGGGCAGTGAATTGCTAATATGTAAAAAGAACTTAAGCAAATACCGAGTTTACTCGCCAGAAC